AACTACCAAACTGTTTAGTAATTTCTGACTGGAAAAAATTATATTTACTAACCTGTAAAATTTTTACAAAAATATTGTTAAATAGAAAAACAAATGCATTAAATTATATATTTATTTCATTTCCTTCCTTTTTACTGAGGCAAACTTACATATATCAAAATACAGCTTGATTAATTTACACATATATAAATATATATATAATTATAACTCCCATCAAGATAGAGAATATTAACAGCATCCCAAGAAGGCTACCTTGTGCCCTTTCCCAATCAGTACCCCTCAGCGTAAGTACTATTCTGACTTCTATCACTTAGTTCTGCCTGGTTTTGAACTTCACACAAGAGGAATCACACAGTATGCACTCCTATGTCTGGCTTCTTTTATTCAGTATAATACCTCTGAGATTCATTCACATTATTTTGCATAGGAGTAGTTTGTTGGTTTTCATTGATATGTAGTATTCTATTTTATAAATACATTTATATCCATGGTATATATGTATGTATATATGTATATTCATTCTTTTGTTGGATACACATGCATTCATATATCTTGAATACATGTCTGAGAGTGATCGCTTATGTGAGTAGGTCAAGGTAGATAGATACATGCTTAGCTTTTGTAAATATTGCCAAGCAGTCTTAATGTAGTTGCATCAATTAAAGCTCCCACCAGCACCATATAAGAGTTCTATTTGTTGCATGTCTTTGGTAACACTTAATGTTATCCATCCTTTTACACTCCCATCACTTTAAACACCATCTCTGTGTGAAGACCTTCCCTTGATCTCTATCTCTGACCCAATGCTCTCCCCACCACGCAAATGGCGTATCCAGCTGTCAATATGACATTTCCCCTTAGATATCTTGTGGGCATCTCCAAGATAACACGTCAATACAAAGCTCTTAAGTCCTCCTTCCCTGCAAAGGGTTCCTTCCTCTGATTTCCTCATCCTCATAAAAAGCATCACGATCTTCTCAGCTGCTCCAGCTAAAAACCTGGATTTCTCCCTCTCCCTCACTTCCACATCCAATCCTTCAGTGAAGCTGCTGTATTCTATTTCTATACTATATCCAGAATCTGTCCACTTCTTCCCACCTTCACCACCGCTCCCCTAATGCAAACCACCATCATTCTTGACTGCATGACTGCTCAGCAGCCAGAGGGAGCTCTCTAAAAAATAAACCAATCACATCATCTCCTTGCTTAATGCCTTCCTGTGACTCTCTAGTGCTCTGACATGAAATCTAACTTCTCACCCTGGCCTGAAACGCTGAGAATGATCTGGCCCCTGCCCATCTCTCTGACCTCTCCTCTTCCAGTAGGGGACTGACCACATTCCAGCCATCACCTTTTCCTAAATACATCAGTCTTATTCCCACGTCAGGACCATTGCCCTTGCTGTTCCCTCTGTCTGAAAAGCTCTTCCCTCAAATCTTTTCCCAGCTGTCTCCTTTTCATCTGTTCAGGTCTTAACCCAAACGTCTCTTCCTCAAAAAGGCCTTCTCTGACCACCTTAGTTAAAGTTGCTCCTCTATATGCCAGCATTCTCTATTCCCTCACCCTCTTTTATGTTTCTGTATAGATTTTCTTGTTTTCTTTATGTAATCACTTACTTCCTTAATGCTCATATCCTCTACTAGAACATAAATCTCCAAAGGTCAGGGGCTGTGTTCCTACTATCAAGAACTGCACTGTCCACTATGGTAGCCACCAGCCATAGGTAGCTATTTAAATTTAAATAAATTAAAAGTAAATAAAACTAGGAATTCAGTTCCTCAGGTACACTAGTCATATTTCAAGTGCTCAGTAGCCACTTGTGACTAGTAGCTACCATATTGGATAGTGCAAAGAAAATTTCCAACACTGAAGAACGTTCTGTTGGACAGCACTGCTCTAGAACCCAGCTACGCAGTAAGTGTGCTATAAAGATATTTTAAATCTTCCATCTTATGGGTGAGAAAAACATAGGCCAGAGAGGTTGTGTTATTAACCTAAGGTCACACAGCCGGGAAGCAGCCTAGCAGGGATTTGAACCCAGGATTGTTTTGCTCCAAAGCACATGCTACTCCCTTTCTTAAGAGCCAGCAGCCTCCTGGCTATTTAGAGAGGCACAGGGCTCTCCTGTACTCTTACACATTCTCCAAGGCTGAGCGTGTACCTAACTGAATAAGTGTGGGGAGCTTCGTGTAAGGACTGTTGCCCAAGGCACCGAGTGATCCAGGGTCAGTCCTGACTCCATCTCGGATCCACCAGCTGTTCGACCCTTAGGAAGTCTCTGCCTCTCTGGGACTCAGCTGCATCTCTGCAAAATGAAGAAACTGACCCTGTGGTCTGAGGGGCAGAGATGGCAGGCAGGGGGCCTGGTGACTGGGTACACTCTTCAGATCCGGCCTGACTCTGAGGCAGGCCAGCCTGAGGAGTGGGTTGGGGGGTAGAAGTGCTTTGGTTGGCTTGACCTACAGTAGCAGCTCCTGCTTCTTGAATGCCTACAGATGAAAACGCTGAGGTTCAGAGAGGTAAAGTAACTTGGCCCAGGCTACATAGCCCCGGAACCGGCAGAATTGGGATTCGAAGCTGAGACTCTCCGATCCCATGCGCGTGCCACGCAATCATGCTCGGGACCCACAGGAATCACAGGGAGGCGGCTACCGCCGAAAGGTAGTGAGCTCCCCGTCTCTGGGGGTGTGCAAGTCGGTGCCGGGCCACGCACGGAGCAGTGCCTGGTGCCCGGGCCGAGACCGCAGAGCCTCTCGCAGGCCCCCTTCCGCCTCCCGCGGCGGCCTCGGCCGAGGCGCGAGCGAGGCACCACCCGGGCGGGGCGGGGGCTGCTATTTCTGTCCGGTGAGCGCAGCCCGCGCCGCAAGGCGGGGGAGGGGGCGCCCGCGCCGCCATATTCGCTCCCGCCGGCCAGCCCCGCGGCGCGCAGCCACCATGAGCACCGCCGCCTTCCACATCTCCAGCCTCCTGGAGAAGATGACGTCCAGCGACAAGGACTTCAGGTGCGCCCCGCTGCCGGCCCCCGCCTCTGCGCCTCCCACTGAAACCCCGGCCTTCTTCGCCTCCCGCCGCGCCGGCCCATCCCCCACGAGCGTGCAGCCCCTGCCCCTCTGCCCGCGTTAAGCTCCACCCCCCCGTGACCCCCGCCCCTGCAGCTCCAGCTCCCCTGCTCCCCGCGCCGCAGCCCTGCGCTCTCTACAGTCCCTGCTTGTCTCCCACCGTGCGCGCGTCGGCCCCTGCCGCCGTCGGCTCGTCGGAGCCCAGCTCCTCCCCTCGGCAGCCTTCCTCTGCCTTGTCTCTCCTGTGTGCCCAGCCCTCATCTCTCCCTGCAGCCGATGCGCCCGGGCCTCCCACCTGAACCCGTGGTGAAGCCCTCGGCTCCTCCTTGGGGATCCCGGCGCCTGCCTCTTCTTCCCCGCATTGAAACCCAGCCCTTTCCCGGGCCCACAACCCCGGGACCGGCTTTTCCACAGCTACCCTCTGCCCCCTCAGCTCCGCCCTCTTCTCCTCGGAGTGTTCCCCCACCCCCGCCCCCCGGCCCCCGGCCCCCTGCCTGCGCTTCAGCAGGGCACCTTCTCCCCTCCCCGCCCCTCCGAGGTTTGCTCTGACACAGCCTGAAGGAGGGGGCTGGGCTGAGTGGCTTGGCAGGCACAGGTAGGCGGTGGTTGGAGTAGGGGCTTTTAGCTTTGGGGTGCCACTCCCCTTCTCTTTGTTTCCCTTTCGCCGAACATCACTGAGCCACACCGGAACAGAGCTGGAAAGAATGGAGGAAACCTCTCTTCCAACCCCGTCTTCCTCAGGGGGAAACTGAGGCCCCCGGGGGATGAAGGGATTGGCTCTGGTCACACAGCCGGTTCTGGACCCTGGGAGCTGAAAAGAGGCCACAGAAACCAACATAGTCCACTTAGTGAACATTCTGTCACGTTATCCCCAGTCACGAAGGGGACCGTTGAAGTCACAGAGCTATGAAGTGGAGGATGTGGGGTCCAAATGCAGGTCAGCCTTAACCCAGAGGCTGAGATCTTAGCGAGGCCATCTGATCCAGCCCTCTGACGGGTGAGGAGATTGAGGCCCCCCCTCTCCTGGTCTGATTCCTTCCTTCTGATACCCACTCCTCAGCACCCTTCAAGAGCTATTCAAGGGTGGAGCTTTAGAACCATAGTGCTGGGTTCAAATCCTGCCCCCAACCACTTACTGGCTGTGTGACTGTGGACTTCTGAGCCTCAACTTCTGTTTCCATAAGATGGGATAATAATAGAATCCGCCTCAGAGAGTTGGTATGAGTTTTTGAAAAGGGTTAGTGCATGGGCAGTGCTTAGATTAGTGGCTGGCACCAGATTGGTGCTTAATAAATTGACGCTTATGATTCCATGCACATCAGAAATTTGCCATGCCCTCTCCCCACTCTTTACTTGCAATCCCTCCCCCCCTTTCATTTCTTGCCTTCACCTGGCTAGCTTCTACTCCTTTGTCACCTCTTTGGGATGCCTCCTGACGACCAGGCAGGGTTGGGCACCTCCCCTGGGCTCCCACAGTACCTGTCCTGCCCTGTGTTTCTACTGCATCACTTCTAGCCCCGAGATACTCAGAACCCCTGCACCGGGACTGTGTGCTTCCTTTTTGCATCCCAGAGCCTGTTCTGGGTACACAGAAGGTGCTCAGTGAATGTTTTCTAGGTGCCAGGCTCCCTGATTGCTGTCCAGTGCAGTCTCATTCAGTCTACCCAGGCAGTCCAGAACAGTCCTTCCTGTTCTCCAGAGGTTCGGAGAGGTGAAGTGACTTGCCCATAGCCGGCTAGTGGCCAAGGGGATTTGCACCCTTGTCTCTTGGGCCCTGATTCCAGTCTCCAGGAGAGGGAGTTGGCCCTGCCAACTAGAGCCTGAGAAGCCCTTTCAGCCTGCTCTGCCTGAGAACACTTAAAACCATCCCAAGCATATGAGAAAGGTGTCTATTTTTAAAGTCCAAATACTGGGAAGGCTGGGTCCTGCTGACCAACTGTCCAGGTGCCCATGTGGCCGAGTGTTTCAGCTGAGTTGTCTCTCTGGAATGAAACAAACTGTGCCCTCTGGCTTCTGGAGGCAGGTGGTAACTGCAAGTGGGGGTCCCAGGCAGGGTCAAGGAAACCATTGATCCCTATTGTCCCCTTGTGGGCAGGAGGCTGCTCAGTTCCCACTCAGACTCCAGCAGCCAGATGGACAAACTGGGGGGTCTTGCAGGAATTCCTTAATCATTTTTCGAAAACACAATAGTAATTGTTGAGGAGCCAGGAGACCTGACTGGTGTGCTGAGTCTCCTCCCAACTTGCTGTGTGACCTTGGGCAGATCGTGCAGCCCCTACGAGCCTGGTTTCCTCATCTGACTCATGCTAAAAGCTGATTGTCCTATTGAAATCTCCCAAAGATGTTACGAGGTGAGGCAAAGAAAATTCTCACTTCGTAGGTGGAAAACTGAGACTCAGGAGTCAGTTACCTAGTTGATAAGTGGCAAGACCTATGTATTTACTTAAAGCCACACTTCAGGGGCGCCTGGGTGGCTTTGCTGGTTGAGCATCTGACTCTTGATTCCGGCTCTGGTCATGGTCTCACGGTTGTGGGAGCAAGCCCTGTGTCAGGTTCTGTGCTTGGCTTGGAGTCCACTTGGGATTCTCTCTCCCTCTGCCCCTCCCCCACGCATGTACGCTCCCTAAAATAAATAAATAAATCTTAGAAAAAAAAGGCAAACTTCAGTGCTCAAACTCTTATCTACCAAATTATATGCTTTGTTGCACATCCCTCACTGCCACCACCACGTACATATGCACAATACAGCTTTCTTTCTCTGAAAGCTGGTTATTTGCAGGACCTCGGGGGTGGCTGAAATGCTGAGGCATATCTCAGAAGAGTTGGTTTCTGAGTTTGGGTTCCCACACAGCTGCTTGGCTGTTAGGGGCTGGCTCTTTCCCTGCCTCCCCTCCTGCCCTCACCATACTTCCCAGGCCTTCTCTAGACCTGTTCTTTGCTGGGTCTGGAGTCCCAGGGACGAACTTGATGGACCCCCGTGAGTTCATATTCTAATGGGGAGACACACTGGTAACCAAGCTTGCAATGCAGTTTGAAGAGTGCTCTGATTAAGAATGCAGAGTGCTCTGAGAGAATCCTATCCAGGGGAACCAAGTGTGATTAGGGAGTGTGAGTTGGGGATAGGGCATGGTGGTCAGAGGAGTCATTTCTGAGGCTGGGACATTTGAACTGGGTCCTTGACAATTGAATAGGAGTTCAACAGAGAAGAAAGAGGGGGATAGGAGGCTCATCTTGGGCAAAGGAACACATTCCTTCAGTTGCCAGGCTGAGCTGGGTCTCTATGAACTGCAGCAGAAACACAGCTTAGAGACCCTGCCTACCATCTCAGAATGTCCCCTCAGCGAGGCAGACCTAGGAGTGCGTGTGTCTACCCCCGGCCTTGGCATGGCTCAGATGCAAACCTCCTTCAGCTTCCCTTGGCTGCCTCTCCTGCAATGACCCGGCCCAGAGGTGTGCACAGTCAGCCCTGCCACTCCCTCCCGGTCTCCAGCCCAGCCTCCTTCCTTCTCTCAGCAGCTTGAGGCTAATCCCAGCTGTTAAAAATAAACAGCAGTGACATCGACAAGTGCCCTCCTGGTAACAGGGTGCTGTGGGTCTCCCCATGACATCAAGCAGCAGGTCTGAGCCTGCAAAGATGAGGCTGGAACCCTGACAGGAGGGTTGGGAGGAGCAGTAGGGCTGTTGCTGGTAGAGCAAGCTCAAGCCTAAAACAAGGCTGGTGTGAGGAGGCAGGGTGGTCTGGTGGGTCAGCAAAAGCTGGAGGCTTTCTCTGGGGCTGCCACTCTCTGGCCCTGAATTTGCCGCATCTCTCCTGGCTGCTCTGGCCTTCCGCTCCAGTCTCTCCTTGCAAGTGCCTTCAAGACCCAGTGAACGGGTACAGTGGGCCTGGTGGGAACCTGGTCAACTGGAGATAGTGTCCCACCTAATGAGGACAGCCATGCCCTGACCAGCCAGTTATTGTCACCAGGGGATGTTGGCCCAGTTGTATTCAAAGACTCTATCTTCGGGGCGCCTGTGTGGCTCAGTTGGTTAAGCGTCTGCCTTCAGCTCATGTCATGATCCTGGGGTCATGGGATCAAGCCCCGCC